TTACTGGTTGTCCTTTGTAGGTAACTTTTTGTTTTTCGCATGCTGCTCTCATGATTCTTTGTCTTTGGTTTTGGCGAGTTTGATGATGATATGTCTGGGTGATTTTCTTTTGGGGTTTATCCTGTTTGGGGTTTGCTGGACTTCCTAAATGGATATATTCTCATATTTCATCATACCAGGAAAATTCTCTTTCAACAAATCTTGGACAATTTTCTCTGTGGTTTTATTTGTCTCTTCCTGTACTGGAATTCCGATTACATGTAGGTTATTCCTTCTGATCGTATCCCACATGAACCTTAGGCTTTCTTCATTTTGTTTTGATCTTTTCTCTGACAGATCCCTTTCCAAGGAAGTGTTCAGGTATTTGCCTTCAATGTCACTAATTCTGTCTTCCATTGATTCTTTTCTGCTCCTTTGCCCATTCAATGTCTTATCTATTTCTGAAAATTTAGTATTAATCTCCTAGATTTCTGTATGGAGATTTTGTATCATTTCTAATCTTTCATTTATTTTGTCATTTTGTTCTTGTATTGTCTTTCGAAATTGTTCTAGGGTTTTCTCTGTGTTTTCCTTGATCTGTCTCTCAATTTGTTAAAGATACCTAAATATAATTCTTCTGAATTCCTTATCAGGGAGTTCCAAAGCTGCCTCTTCCTCTGGGATGTGTTTTGGGTCTGTATCCTGGTCCCTTGTTTGCCATGTTTTATCTTGCTTCTTTGTGTGGAGTGTGATGCTCTGTTATCTCCGTGGCATTGTTACGTTTTTGTGTTTATATTTAAGTGGTGATTAGATGTTGGAGTGACTTGCCCAAGATTTTCGTTTTCTTTGTTTTGTTTGTATGTTATCTACGTAAATACACAAGCAGGGTACTGTGCTGTGCTCCTCTATTCACTAGTTGACAGCACTTAAACACTCACCACCTGTCTCCTTTCCTGTTTCAGCCTCTCCTATGTCCCTGCTGACCTTGGCAAACAAAGCCTATTCTTAGGTCCCTGGAATCCAAATGAGAATGTTAACACTTTAAAATTCAAAATGGTTGCCACTTGTAAAGATTCAAAACGGCTGCACCCTCGGTCACTTTAAATATCCAAAATGGCTGCTGCTTGTAAACATTCAAAATGGCTGCACCAGGGGACATCAAGCTCAACTGCACAACACATTGTTCCACCTCCTACTTTGGTGAGTAGCGACTGGGATCTTAAAAGCTTGCAAGCAGCCATCTAGATGCAACGATGGTTCTCTCCTCATCCAGAGCAAAAAAGAATGAAGACAACCAAAGATTCATGGAAACAATTAGTCCTCACGACTGGTACACCATGTAATCCTCAGCCTATATGACTATGAGACCGGAAGAAGTAGATCATGCCCAGCTTACTACTATGAACCATTCAGAAGGGGATCTTTGTAGGAGATCCTGGATAGAGAGGGAGAACAATGTGCAACAAAATTCAAAATCATTTTTGGGGAAAAAAAAAGGTTTGCTGGTCTGATAGAGCCCAGTAGAACCACTGAGACTATGGCCCCTAGCTGCCCTTCAGGTCTGGAATTGAACCCATACCTGTGGCTTCCAGCCAAACAAAAGACAGGCATATGAGTTGAACATGTACCTGAGATAAATACACTCCTTGGAGAGAACTATCATGGGAGAAAGAAGGGTAGTTTATGCACAGGGAGACAGCTCAGGGGGCAGGAGTGCATGGATGGATGGACAGAGGGAAGAGGTAACTATCAGGAGGAAGTGGAAGAGGAGCTGTTGCATTGGAGTAAATTGTAGTGAATGTCATGAGACAATGTGTGTGTGAAATGTTGCATAGAAAGTGAATTTGCTCTGTAAACTTTCATCCAAATCACAATAAAAAAAAAATGGCTGTGCCCTTGGTCACTTTAAATATCCAAAATGGCTGCCACTTATAAACATTCAAAATGGCTACACCCTCAGTCACTTTAAATATCCAAATGGCTGCTGTGTGTAAACAATCAAAATGGCTGCACCCTCCAGACAGTGGAAAGTCAACAGCTCAGGTTGTCTCCCTTCTTGCCGTTTCCCTTCCTAGTCAAAGGCCACCAATGCAGTCGTCCCTGCAGCCCTTGGTGACCAGGGCTGATTTTTAGTTCAATTTTCAGGTCCCACCACTTGGAAACATTCAGGCTGTTGGTCCCGTCTGAGTAGTTGACAGTCCGCAGCTCTGACCATGTCTATACTTACAGTTTTTGTTCAGGTTTTTCCACTAGCTGGTGCATAATCAATCCATTTCTGTATAGTTCCTTTCAAAGCTCAGGGCTCCAGGATCAATTTGTTTTTTCTTTTCTTTGTTGAAGAGGGTCTGTATCACTTGTCTGCCTATTCCTCCATCTTACCGGAAGTCCCCCCACTCTGCTCACTTCTTGGTCTCCCTTGTTGTTGTTGTTGTTGTTATGTGCTGTGGAGTCAGATCTGACTTATAGCGACCCCTCCTTGGGTTTCCGAGGCAGTATCACTACAGAAGTAGATTGCCCTATCTTCCTTCCAAGGAGTGGCTGGTGGGTTTGAACTGCCAGCCTCCTGGTAAGCAGTCAAGTGCCTTAGGCACTATGCTACCAGAGCTCCTTGGTCTTCCTTAGCTGTTCCAAACTGCCACCAGCTCCCTTCCTAGTCTCCTTAGCTGTTCTAAACCCACTGCTGGCTCACTTCCATAAACAGACACAGAGACTAGGAATTACAATACAACACAAAATGGAGGACGATGGCTAGAAAGTCCATGTTAAGCAATCCACGGCACTGAAATAGCCTGGAAAATCCAACGGTGCACAGTTATACTCTGCACATATAGGGTTGCCATGAGTCCAAAATGACTTGACAGCAACTAACAAGAATGATTTTTAGGGATGCAGACTGCCAGTTATTGTGTGTGTGTGTGTTATTTGCCGTCGAGTCGGCCCCGACTCATAGCGACCCCTCCTTGGGTTTCCGAGGCAGTATCACTACGGAAGTAGGATTGCCCAACCTTCCTTCCGAGGAGTGGCTGGTGGGTTTGAACCGCCAGCCTTCTGCCAGTTATTAGGTAAATGCAAATTAAAACCACAGTGAGAAACCACTAGACATAATGTGGGACCCAAGGTACAGAGAATCCAACACAGAAGGGAGACAAAGGGAACACCTAGAATGGTGACAGTGGAAGACCTGACGTTCAAAGTTGCAATAGATTTAACTAACAACCAAGTCATTCTGGAACAGGTCAGATCAAAGTGAAAAATTACCTGATGAATCTGAATATCATGGAAGATGATTTCGGCAAATTCTCCCAGGATTTAATCAAGTTAGTATTAAGTAGATAGATAACTAAGCGATGGCAAACAACAACAACAACATTAATTTCAGAGAAAACAACTTGTGCAGAAAAGTAGTCACATGCACAAGAGATTATCAAATGGTTTTGCCATAAGCGCTATTCACAGTCACTACGAAAAAAAAAATCACTGAAAACTGATCTAATCAAAATTAAGGCATTGGTATGACGGCAGGCTGGCAGTCTGAGGCTGAAGGTAGAAGGGCATGTGTGTTGGGAGGGAAATGAGGTATTAGTATCAATTGAGTTGATTCCAATCTATGGAGACTTCTTGTGTTTCAGAGTAGAACTGAGTTTTCTGAAGTAGGTTGCCAGGCCTTTCTTCCAAGGACTCTCTAGGTAGATAGGCTCTTATCTTCTGATTAGCAACCTAGTAAGTTAAACATTTACATCACCCAGGGACTCTCTGGCTATGAGGTCAGAGGAGTTTTAAAAAAGAGCTAACACTGTATCTTCCAAGGGGGGAGTCAACAGGCAACAGGACTATGAAATTAAAAGTATGAAAAGCAGGCTCCTGGGGAGAAGACTGCATAGTTTATTGGGGGGGGGGGGCGCATGCACAGGGGAAGCACTGGTTTCCACAAGCCTTTTAGAAGCATTTCACTACTGATTTAAATGAAAACTAGTATTAAATAGTTCACTCTGATTGTTATTAGAAAAACAGACTATTGGTAAACAAGAGGAGAATCAGGGAAAACAAGAAGCAACTAGCAAAGAGTAATGGTAGTCAGGCATCTGGTAAGGAAGTGGTTAGAAACTAATTTTCCAAAGACCAAACAGAGCTTATTGATGGATTGTACCAAGAGAAAGAATGAAGATGACGCCTAAGTTTCTTAACCTCAGTAACTGTACAGGTATTCACAGTCACTATAATGCTTAATAAGGAGCTCTGATGGCGCAGTGCCTAAGGTATTTGACTGCTCATCAGAAGGTTGGCAGTTCAAACCCACCAGCCGCTGCAGCACGGAGGGAAGATGGGGCAATCTACTTGGGTAAAGATTTACCTCTCAGAAACCCAATGAGAGTCGCTATGAGTTGGACCACTCGGTGGCAGTGAGTTTTATACCTGTCAATAAATTGAGGAAGTACAGGGAAGATGCACAGTGGGGAACGGCAAAGCCTTGGGTGACAAAATTTATTTTGGGCACATTCGATCTGAGATGCTTAAAAAAAGTCCTGAGAAGAGCACAATGGGTGTAAATTTCCAAGTGGCAAAATGCAATTCATAACGTGAACTTACTAGAAATCAGCTCACTTTCATGGTAAGGCCTGCCTGCCTGCCCAGGGGCGTGCAAAAACCAACCAGATGGAGCAACCCTGGCGGTGATACTAGTGAGCAATACCCTCATGCCTGAAGTACTGAAGATAACTTCCAACGCTCAGCTCGCCGTTAAGGAAAAAAAGCATTAAAAAACAGCGATGTCGTTCCCCAGAAGCAGGGCAGTGTTCACGTGCTGGCTCCCGCGTTTCGGTCGAAGCCAGGCCCCGAGAAGCTGCTGCGTGAATGTGCCCGTGCGCACGTTCCGGGAGCCAGGGGCCGCGCGTAGCCTGAGAGGTTAGTATGCTCGAGGACAGAGTCTCCCAGAACCCCCGGGAATGTTGCACGCGAGGACCTCGCGAGCCTCACGTGAAGGGCGGGACAATTAGCCGCTCGCCTCAGGCCGGATCACTCACCTGACGGCACGTAGTCTTCGTCTTCCTCTGAGGTGGAAAAATCTTCGGAGTCGAATTCTTCCATGTCACTGCCACGCGGGGTACGCCAACCTGCAAGACCACCGCGGTTACCCCTAACAGCGGAGCACTAGGGAAAGACCATAGAGCTGCACCAACGACTGCGAGAGTGCGCGCCGCAGGATTTGCGCACGCGCAGAGTGCCACATGGTGGAAATCACGACACTTCCGGGCCAACACCTCCAGGCGCTTGCTGTGGTGCCTACAGGAGCCACAGGACTCCGTGCAGAAGCGGTGCATGCTGGGACTCGTAGTCCTTAGCATTACCTCAGCTCATCGATTTAATTTATGTGCTTGAAAGTAAAATTGCCTGTTTGTGGAAATATTCTAAAAGTCAGACAACATAAACTGGAATCCTCCCTTAACGTTAACACACACGGAAGTACAACCACATATAATCTATTATTTTTTTCAAATTAACAATTTTTGTGGGAATTTTTGTTTAGGGGACTAGTTATGTTAATAGTGGAATGATTTGGAAAAGGGTAACAATGGGTGCCTGACTTAATAATGTCACTAAACTGCAGAAATTGCTCAGATAGAATATGATGTGTTACGTATATATTCACCATAATTAAAAAAATAATTATAATGCAATTATGGGAGGCAATAATCCAGCAAAAGCAGATGACATCAATGACTAACACACCTCTTGTTCCTACTAGGTACAGCTGTGCTGGTTGTCTTCAACTGAAAAATGCTCCTCATTAATAGCCTGGACCAGACTGGCTGTGTGTCCTAGACTAAAACAGCTGCCAGTCACTCAGCCTCACAGTGATGCCGTGTGTGTCTGAGTAAACTGTGCTCCTTGGGCTTCAATGGCCCACAAGTGGGATTAGTAAGACTCAAGTTTACATTTATGTACACTTTAATCCCATCTTTGAACAAGAATTCCACCGTAAATTAGTAAAAAGTTGAACATAAACATATATGCTACGAAAAACAAAAAACCAACACCACTGCCAAAGAGTTGATACCAACCATAGCCATCCTACAGGACAGAGTAGAACTGCCCCACAGGGTTTCCAAAGCTGTAAATCTTAACGGAAGCAGACTGCCTCGTTTTAATCCCATGGAGCAACTAGCGGGTTCAAACATCCTTTCGTTAGCAGCTGAATGTGCAACCACAGCACCACCAGAACTCCCTGCTTACATATACATTAAGTACCGAGTTATAAAAGCCAAGAAACAGGTCTGATGATTTGATTAAAAAGATTAAACTCACTGGCCACTGAAAAAGAAATACAATTCCAGCTCACAGCAGTGAAAGTAGTTCTTTATTGATAAACATTTATATCAGAATTAGAAATGTTAGTAGAAAAATAAAACTTAAATAATTTCCCATTGTACAAATATTTGATCATTCAGACTGCAGCATTTAGTGAAATAATCTAATAGAAAAAGTTAAGCTGATTTTAGTCATAACCAGCCTTATGGAGTGCACGCCTAAGAAATTCAGGTACACAAAACTTTCTGCATGTGGAAAACTAATGGCACCAGGGCTTCACATTCCAGGAAAATGTTCCTCAGGGAAGGCTGGTATGCACTGTAGTATAATAAGAACTTAATTCAAACCAGAGCAGCTAGAAAAGACATTGGAATCAAAAGCCAACATACAATTAAAAAACTTAAAAACGTAAGGAGGACTTTTTCTCATTACTTTAAACCTTTTGTAAAAAGTTATTTTTTTGCAAAAAAAAATTCACGAATAACACACAGTGGAAGGCAGGTCAGAGAAAGAAAGACATCGTTCTCTTGGAATAATCATTACCCCTTTGTTTGTGGACTTACAAAGTTTTCATCAAATGCTTTTACCTCAAAAAGAAAAGCGGAAACACAGCTGAGAGGGGTGGGTTGCATTAAGTCTTGAAGAAAAACTGGTGAAAATCCTCAAGAAACTACATATAATAGGATAAAATGTTCAACACAAATATCAGTATTTTCCCATCTGAACAAGCACCCCCCCAAATAACTGTGTATTTGAGACAAGAAACTAAAACAAAAATGAGGAGGAATAGACATTCTTTATCATTCAAATAGTTTCTCACCGAAAACTTATTTCAAACTATCGTAGCTCAATCTGTACAATTCTCTGTATATTTATTCACAGGAGAATACTTCACATACTGGGGAAGATGAAACATTCAATAATTTGAAGATGTATTTTACATTTGAAGTGTTTTTACAAGGACAGATCATCGAAAAGAGTGAAACAGAAACAAAGAAACCTTTCAAAATGCGTTAGTTTTGAAATAACCAAACATTTTAATTGTAGATCAACGTATTAAAAAATGAGTATTGGGGTTGGGGGGGCTGCGAATTCATGGCCCACGTTTAGTTTGTGAAGTTGTAGCCAAAAGAATGTTTTGCGCAAAAATTCTAACAGGAGTTATCTTTCAGTAGAGATAATCAAAAATCACCTTCCAGAATAAAGGATCCAATGTCCCCAAATGTCTTAGCCTGGAGAGATTTTCAAAATGATATAGCTCCTTGAACTGAAAAATGGAGTGCTGAACTCAGTCTTCTTGGAAAGACGATGTGGGCAGTGGAGAGGAAGCCTGCCGGGGAATGTGTAAGGCCATCTGCCTGCAGTCCAACTCTACTTACTCCCACCCAGCCTACGTGTTTGTCAGTAGAGTTTTGATAAATGGTCTAATAGCTCAATAGTCAAAAAAAGAAAATGTCCAGTTAATTTTTGTGATCTGTAATATTCCTCTATCACTTTCCCTGGTAAATGGTCCCCCGTTGATATTTTCTAATCAGAAGCCAGGGTCCAGATGGCTTTAAACGGAATAGATAACCTCATTCATGTACGTGTCCTCATGGGTCATTAGTCTTACTCTCGTAATGAAAACTTTCCTTTAAAAATGTCAGACTTAATTACCAAAAACCAATTCTGAAAACAGTTAACAACAATGATCATATGCCATACAAAACCATTTAGATAGTAAAGATCAAGTTAGATACTTCATTTTTTTTGCAATCCTTTCCCTTTTGAGGGTCACAGTTTTTAGGCCTTTTAATGAGAAAGAAAGTCAGGTAGCAGAATGAAAAAGTAGCTAAAATTAAATTTTTAAAACTTTGATATTTAATTCTTTTGAAGGGTACACTTTCTCCTGGAAGAAAATAAAAGGGCAGAGTGGGGATATCTGAACATTAAACTGTAGGCATGTCCTGGGAGTTGACACCCAATACTGTAAAAGTGGGTAACCAACTAAGACCAAGAAATCAATGACCAACTGTTCTTTAAATTGTACTTCTACAATTTCTCAAATTCATTAATAAACAAAAGCCACTAAGAAAAACTATACAGACTTCTTAAAGTATCTTGTTATTTGTGCCTAAATGCCCACAGTGTGTCCTAATCTATCTGGCTTAAAATTTCCAACCCAAGCCAGTTCAAATAGGGTATATTTCCAATAAAACTTAAAAAAAAAAAAAAAGTAAAAATAAAAAAAATAATTAAAAGAATAAAAGTGAGAAGAAAAGGTGGTACAGGGATTTTGGCAGGGAAAAAAAGTTTTCGATTAACAAGCTTATTTTGATAATATGCATAAAACACAAATTCACATCTCTTAAAATATGTTAAATAATCAGACGTCAAGTGGGTTATCCACAAAACGTCACATCATTCAATAGTCACCTCTTTCTTTAAACAACAGAACCACAGCACTGCTAGTGTCACATTTAGGTATTTTTTTTCCTGTTCATTATGTTTATTGTCAAAGTTACACTCAGCCACAACCTACTTGGCACTTACTGTCATGTAAATGTAGTTAATGAGGAATTTACTACATTTTAATCAAAATTAGATCAACTGAAATTTTAGTACAGTATGCTCTGCTTAAAAATAAACCAGTGTTTCCCATAGTTTCTCTCTGAAGATGTAGTGTTGCATTTTCTCACACAGTATTACAGTGTAAGAGGTGCCAACCGAGGAGCCCCGTTGGTCTGGGTAAAGGTAAAAAGCTGCTTAAATTAAATAACCACAAAAATGAAAGCGAAGGAACTTGTTTTCTTTTGCTTGAGAATGATAGGAATCTTCACTTCCCGGAGCTTTGAACTGAAGAAATGGCTGAGATGACACCCTTCATCTAACTGTTCATCCAAGTTGCTTCCATTTGAAGAAATGAGAAAATGTTACATTCCATTATATACTCTTTTTGAAGATTCTGTATCTTAGGTTTATTTATTAACTTTTCTTGGCATCATGGCACAAGGATATATGCTATAGAGTAGCTAAAATCCGTAAAAAGGAAACCACCACTACACAGAACGTCTGTCCACTGCCCAAGGTGAGGGCTTCGAATGGTATCATCTCCTTTCCTGCCGCTCGGTAAACTCCAGCAATTGCTGCACCTGTTTGAAAATTCAAAAACGTATAGAAAAATAAAAATCAAGGTTAACACAATCAGGAAAATACAGTACTCGAAATTCCACCATAAAGAGAATAGCAAAGATTTTTGAAGTTTAAATATTATGGAAATGTTCTGTTGGCCCTCCTTCTACGAACTGCTCTAGATTTTCAATATTCCTCACGGTCTTCAAATCACTGATACATGCTTTCAGATGTTTAAATGCCATTCCTTGAAACAGAGAGTCTTCTAGATTTACTGAACAGAATCCTCTGGAAGTAATAAAGTCAAGAAGAAACCAATTCCCACATGGCCTGATTACGAACTTGAAAACCTCTTTCTATTCCCCATGCCAATTAGCCCAGTGTCTAGCTCTGAAAAGGTACCTAATAAATTTCTGGCAATAAATGATAAAGATTCTTTCTGTGTGATTAAATTAAGTCATCAAATTTAAACATTAATTTAAAACATTTCTCGGTAAGAAGTATTTCAAGAGAAGCCCACAGAATCCCAGTCCCATCCCTTCAAACAGTGGATGGAGGTGGGAGTAGAAAAGGTGGGAAGCTGAAGAGAGGGGACACTAAGGCAGGGCCTCTCCACCTATAGAGTTGCTCTTCATTCCACGGGGTGGATGAATGAAGCCAAGAGACACTCAGGGATTCCTTCCTGCTGCCTATGTCTTTGTTTTCATGATGTTAGTCACTGTAATTTCCTAGGAACTAAAAAAACACACC